TTCAGCGCTTCGACTTCACGTACTCCTCGCCTCAGGCCACTCCTCTGTCTACTCGCCACTCGCTCTCAGCTCTACCTTCGGATGAGTCCGTAGAGCCGAGTGGCCCATACCCAGAGCTTGTTGGCTGCCTCATGTACCTGATGACCTGCACACAACCTGACCTTGCATACGCTCGTAGCATCTTGGCACGCTATGTTGCTCCTGGGAGACACCGACCAGAGCCAATGGCTGCAGCGAAGAGGGTGTTGCGCTACTCGTGCAGTACGTCGGGCATGGGGCTAGTGCTTGGAGGGCGACGTCGAGTGGTCCTCACAGGTCACGAAGACCCTTCTTGGGTTTACGACCAGGCTACGCAGCGGTTGTCACAGGGTTACACCTTCAGCCTTGGCTCCGGCTCTGTTTCGTGGCGGTCTACCCGCTCGTCTTCTGTTCTCGGCTCCAGCTGTGAGGCTGAGATCTACGCCGGGGCCATGGCTGCACAGGAGCTATGCTGGCTCACCTACCTGCTGACTGACCTAGGAGAGCCGCCTCGTTCTCCTCCAGTTCTGTACGTAGACAACAAGGCCATGCTGGCCTTGTGTCGGGAGCACAGACTGGAGCACAGAACGAAGCACATTACTCTTCGGGCGACGGAGGGCGACGCGCGGGTCCCCGGGGGCGCTGCGACGGGCGACGAGGGGCGACGAGGCAGAAAACCGCCGCGCGCCTCGGGGCGCACGGCGGGCAGAAAACCGCCTCGCGCCCCGAGCGCTCGGCGGGCAGAAAACCGCCATGCGTCCTGAGCGCGTGGCGGGAAGAAAAAAAACGTCGCAGGTCACGGGGCGCGCGACAGACAGGAAAGCAGCAGAAGCAGGTGGGCCCACAGACCAAGAGCGTAACAACTCTGATACCATATTACAATAGCGGTTAGAACTCAGGAGCCATAGCTAGCAAGCTAGCAAGGCAAGAGAGAATGAGCAAAGGAGGGTTTGCACTAGCAGCAGTTGAGATATAGATAGGAAACCCTAATTGGGTTGTACTCGCTGTAGAGTACCCCACTGCAGGCTAGATAAGCATAATATTCTGACAGTTCGATCTGCACACACGAAATGTCTGAAACAATGCTTTGCAAACCCACCCGGAAAGACCCTTTCAAGATGGGACGGGGTTCACTATTCTATGTTTCGGTTTTAATATGTGTGAGTAGAAATATGTTTGTATGCTTTTATTATAAGTGCATTGTTTGAAGTGTGCTTACAGGGGCTCGCCATAGCGAGGGATTTGAACCTGGTGGCGAGTCAACGGGGCGCAACCGAGCACAGCGGCACGCGAAACTGACCTGTGGGGCGCGGCAGGATACCGCGCCCTTGCCGAAGCTGAAAAGTCTCGCCAGCGCGACTGTAACAAGGCAACCTAAGCGACACAGTGCAACTGTTATACAGTTGTGCTTTGGTAACTGTTTGCCCTATGCGTTTGCTATACAGCAGAATGTAATGCCTTGCTCATATTACACAATTCTCAAGCTTGTGTCCGGCCTACCCTCGGCCGCTGTTTTGGCACCACGTTACAAGCTAGGAGAGCTACCTCTGAGTGACCATTAGCCCCGACGTAGGGACATCGTTAAATCCTAGAGCTTCCGCTGCGCTCTAGCGACTTCTTATTTCCAACAAAATATATTTTAATGATTTGGAGTATTTGTGACTCTGCAGACAGCATATACAATGTGAAATATTGTCTCATATGTACTTCAAATTCTAGTTGATCTCTACTCCATTGTGGATGCCTCTTTTCATTTCTTCTGCGAGCCCAAACACACGGTCCCGGCTTGACTCCTATAACGGAGATCAAACCTGACAGCCATGCACGAGCCTCCCTCGCTGAGCCGAACCATAACCACCAACTTCCTTAACTTTTCAAGCCTGGCCTGCAGCCTTAGGCACTCTCCCACACTTGACGGACCTCCCCCCAAACCATCTTGAGCTTCATTCATCAGTCCGCCAATCAACCCAGCCAAGCAGCTCATTCTTTTCCATAGAGCCCGCGAGCAAATGATTCGATAAGTCAAGCAAGGCAACCTTTTAGTACCATACAAAACCGTTGTGGCATGTACCGTTACCATCTGGAACACGCTCAAAGTTTTATGCTTCATTACAAGAGTCTTTTTCTGGTTCAATTTCCTCCACATCAAGAGCCTATGATTCCCCCAAACCTGGTCCCGCTCACCACGTGACGACAATTGGGAGGGAGCAGTAAGGGCGTGTTACATTTTCATTGTTTTTGTCCGGACGGCCAAACGTCCGGACGATTGTGTGGTTACGAAACTCGTTAAATCTCAGCAGTGAGTTCAGGGTCTAAACGACGTCGCTGTCTTCGTACTGCATCCTTACGACATCGTATTTGTCGCAACATGACCGAGCGACGTCGCAATCTTCAAACGCGTCCGGATAGTCGTCCGGACTTTCAGCGACTTCAAAACATGTAACACGCCCTAAGCAACCTAGGAAGTACCGTACAGAACCTAGAGGTTTCAATTGTTCCTTGCACATCACACACCCACCTCCTGGGCGATGTTCGGCTGCCACAGGGGATGGGGGGAGGGAATGGGATGGATCATCAGAACGCCGAGCCTCCTGGTTCGATCTGTTCGAACCAGGCAGAACACTTCGGTCAGACATGAAAATTGTGAAAAAAAAGTGTCGGACGTGAGCCTAAAACGCGACGCGAACCCCGCGCTAGGCTTGAACCCGCGCCGCGTCCTCCCCCCGATTCCCCCCCATGGCGGAAAAACTCCGCCCTATTGTTCAGGGCAAGGAAAGTGCATTCCCGTGGGTGGTCTCAGCCCACGGGGAATGAAAAATCCATGCCCCCTTCCACAATTTTCGTTTATACATTTACTCCACACTCTAAAAAACAAATAACCCTGACATTAAAAATATAATGCTAAACAGAACGATTCGAAATGAACTCGCCAAAATTAAATAAGGTCGAATCGTCATTTACACCCTTGAATGAATTTATGGTGTACAGAATTCAAGTAGAGCAGGCTACCCAAACAAAACGCAGCAGTAAACTGTTAAGCTCGCGAAGTTTCGTTTCGCGCGACTGCAGTTTCGTGGGCCCCCATTTCCCGAGTCGCTCCTCCGCGCCTTTTCCCCCAAACTTTCCGCTTCCGCCTGGACTCCAGACTTGGAGTCAACGACAGTTGACTCCGAGCTGACCACCCCGAACTAGAAACCCTAGCTGCAAATCTGATCCCTCCCCCCATCCCTCGGTCGATGCCCTGTGGCAGCCGAACATCGCCCTGTTTCAGGACAAAGGGGTATCAGGAAGAAAGCTTTGGATAGTCGAAAACCGGATATGTAGTATCCGCAGCGCGGTTTGAGCTGCATTGGTGCTGGTTTGTTAGACGTAAAGCAATAACGAGCCGTGCAACTTTTGACTACCTGGTCCGCCATGGGTTTCTATCTCAGTATGAATTAGACGGAACCAAAGAGTCGCAGTGTCGACACTGTTAAGAAAATTGCCCCTCGCTCTTCGATTCTCGTGCTCGGTGTGTTGCAAGATTAAGCGGCTAGTCTCCCTTTCCCACATTTTCAAGGGAGCGGGAAGGGAGGGCGTGGCTGTTAAGATATTAATGTGTCGTGGAAACGAAACGGCGCCCATGTCTACAACAAGAGGCGACTGATTAGGGTTCTGCTGAACATCCTTGATCATGGAGTAGCATTTCTGGAAGAGAAGACGGGAGAAGGCACTGACTGGTTCGTTCCTCCATTTTCCTTGGCGTCTAAATATACCTCTTGAGTTACTGGTCCATCGTCCATTTATGCGCTTTTGTACTTAACGTCCTGCGTTCAAGTGTTAATTTTTGTCACTATTATCAGACGCAGCTATTTTTTGGCATTGTTGTGCTGAGTTAGCAGGTGCACTCCTGCTTCTCATTAGTTTTTTTTTTTTTTGCGCAAGCTCAAAGTTTATATTTACTGTGCTTTCACAACCAATGGGACACTAGTGTGCATGCCGCATTCCGCATCTCGTTCTTGTTTCGCCCTATTCCTGCATTCATCTGCTTCCGTCTGCTTGCCGAGTGATTTCCGTTGTTTCAAGTTCCGCTTGAAGCTGCTCAGCCCTCCAGCTTCCATCCCTTCCAATTCCATTCTTCCAGATCAGAACATCGCACCTGCCCCATCAATTCTCTTCCCCCCCTCCTCCCCCCACTCCCTCCCATCGTTCTAAGTACTATAAGTTTCCCGTCAGAGTTAGTTCGGAACTTTAGTCAGCCTTACTACTCTCTTCCCGACTACCTCCTTCCCCGTGGCTCCTTAAGCTAAGGTGTCTTTGCTTCCCTCCATCCCATCCTCTCTCAACCCTATGTCTTCCCTTTTTCTTGACCTCTTTTCCTCTTCCCCCTACACACCCCACCCGCTCTCCCTCCTCCCCTTCGCCCTCACCTTTTGCCGTTCCTCCCCTTCCCCCCCACTTTCGCAGCTCGCCGTGCTTCGAGTTGGTTACATGCAACGCCTGTCCCTCTTTCCCTCGCTGCTGCTCAACCGCTGCTGCTCGCCGTAGGGCCGAACCGTCGTCTCGAAGCCGTCCTTTGGCCCATCGAATCGCGCGAGCATTGTCCTCGCTACAAGCGCATTCGTGATATCTAAAGAGCGCGTCCTTTTATCGTCATACACAGTTTCCCTGCCGTTTCCCCGGACGCCCTCGTCCCTCTTCCCCTTGTCTCCTCCCCCTCATCAATCTCTACACATTCCCCACCCGCATAACCTCACCCACTTGGTCCTCTTCACCCACCTCTCCTCACCCACCACTCCAGCCATCCCCGCCACTAGCCGCAAGCAGCAGCCAGTCATTCATAAGCCACCAGATGCGCCTCACCCCCCTCCTTACGCTTAACCCTCCCAACGCTTACCCGCTTCTCGAAACGTCTCCAGAGTCCTACCCATATTCGTTTCCGCCTACGCCACTTTTGGGAACTGTCAGAGGATTCTGAAAAGTGACTCAAAAGTGAGTCAAATATGGACGATGAGGCCCGCGCGGAGCTGCAGCAGCTATTAGACGCGGTCAACGGCCCGCAGCCGTGCGGGTACTGGTGGGCCGCGCGCCTGGTGCGCTCGCTCGTGCTCGCGCTTAACCAGTTCCGCGTGAAGGCGCAGCGAGCTGCGCGCGCGCACGCGCACAGGCGAGAAAAAGGGGGGGGAGCGGGGGCGGGGGCGGGGGCGGGGGGGAGGAGGGGAGGGGAGGAGGAAGGGGAGGAGCTGTTGCTATTCGGGCCTGGTCTGGATTCAGACGCCTCTTCGCTTGATAGCAGCCTGCAGGCTGTTGTTTCTGCAGGTGAGGTTGGGAAAGGGGGGAGGGGTAAGGTTGGGGACGGGAAAAGAAAGGGGAACGACAGGGAGAAAGAGAGAGAGAGAGAGAGAGAGAGAGGAGAGAGAGAGAGAGAGAGAGAGAGAGAGAGAGAGAGAGAGAGAGAGGGAGAGGAGGAGGGAGGGAGGGAGGGAGGGAGGGAGGGAGGAGGGAGGGAGGGAGGGAGGGAGGGAGGGAGGGAGGGAGGGAGGGAGGGAGGGAGGGAGGGAGGGGAGGGAGGGAGGGAGGGAGGGAGGGAGGGAGGAGGGAGGGAGGGAGGGAGGGAGGGAGGGAGGGAGGGAGGGAGGGAGGGAGGGAGGGAGGGAGGGAGGGAGGGGAGGGAGGGAGGGAGGGAGGGAGGGAGGGAGGGAGGGAGGGAGGGGAGGGAGGGAGGGAGGGAGGGAGGGAGGGAGGGGAGGGAGGGGAGGGAGGGAGGGAGGGAGGGAGGAGGGAGGGAGGGAGGGAGGGAGGGAGGGAGGGAGGGAGGGAGGGAGGGAGGGAGGGAGGGAGGGAGGAGGGAGGGAGGGAGGGAGGGAGGGAGGGAGGGAGGGAGGGAGGGAGGGAGGGAGGGAGGGAGGGAGGGAGGGAGGGAGGGAGGGAGGGAGGGAGGGAGGGAGGAGGGAGGGAGGGAGGGAGGGAGGAGGGAGGGAGGGAGGGAGGGAGGGAGGGAGGGAGGGAGGGAGGGAGGAGGGAGGGGAGGGAGGGAGGGAGGGAGGGAGGGAGGGAGGGAGGGAGGGAGGGAGGGAGGGAGGGAGGGAGGGAGGGAGGGAGGGAGGAGGGAGGAGGGAGGGAGGGAGGGAGGGATGGGAGGGAGGGAGGGAGGGAGGGAGGAGGGAGGGAGGGAGGGAGGGAGGGAGGGAGGGAGGGAGGGAGGGAGGGAGGGAGGAGGGAGGGAGGGAGGGAGGGAGGCGGGAGGGAGGGAGGGAGGGAGGGAGGGAGGGAGGGAGGGAGGGAGGGAGGGAGGGAGGGAGGGAGGGAGGGAGGGAGGGAGGGAGGGAGGGAGGGAGGGAGGGAGGGAGGGAGGGAGGAGGGAGGGAGGGAGGGAGGGAGGAGGGAGGGAGGGAGGGAGGGAGGGAGGGAGGGAGAGAGAGAGAGAGAGAGAGAGAGAGAGAGAGAGAGAGAGAGAGAGAGAGAGAGAGAGAGAGTGGATCGGGAAGGGAGAAATGGGACAGAGGTGAGGTAAAAACTAAAGATTTCCTAGGCGTTCAATTCAAACATCATTCTTCAGAGTCCCTTTCTCGCTTCAACCCCTCCCCTTGTCCTTCCCCCTGTCCTCCTCGCCCCCATTTCCTTCCCCATCCTCTCCACCCCTCCCACTCTTCCTCACACCCTTCCCAAAACCACCTTCCTCTCTCAAACCCCACTTCTCTGCCCACACCCCCTCACGCCACCGCCTTCCCGCCAAACTCCCTCATCCCATCCCCCCTCCTCCCTTGCCCCCCAACCCTCCCCTGCTCCCCCTCCCTTGCCCCACGCAACCCAGCTCGAGCATTAATCCAAAGGGCAGGTCCGGACAACTTCCTGCCGCCCGACCTGCTCAAATCCGAATCCGAGGGCGAATCTGACATCTGGGTCGTAGGCGCGCTCGCCTTCCTGCTCCTCTCCGGCCGCCCGCCCTACGACGTGGGAGCGCCGTCCCTCGCGCTGTGCATAGCGCGCGAGGAGGGCTTTCTGGACCTGTTCTCGCCCCCCTGGGACGCCGTGCCGCTGCCTGCACGGCACCTGCTGGCCCGACTGCTGAGGCACGACTCGGCCAAGCGAGCCACGCCCAACGAAGTCCTCAGTACGTTTTGGGGCGAGGGAGAGAGAGAGGTGAGGGGAGGAGAGGGAGAGGGGGGGAGAGTGAGGGAGCAAAGGATCGAAAGCGGGAAGAAGGAAATACGACATGGAAGGTCTTTTGAAGCGCATCAAAAGAGCGCGAGGGGTATGTTGAAAGAGCGGAGTATGCTTTCGATGATGATTATTGGCTTTGCTTGCTCTCCTGCTGTTGCTGCTACTTCCTGTGGTTTGTAAAGGTAGCTCGGTTTGTTGACTCCTCGTCCTCCTCTTCCTCTTCCTTCTCCTTTCTTTTGCTACGGGACATATCAACACGGCACCGCTCAATCGGCTTTCTATGGGCCACGAGAACAACCTAAACCCATAACAGCGCCTCACCGCTCTCTCTAACACGCCCCTAAGCGCCCAAGTCCCTTTCGCTTCGCAGTTGCATAACAAAATTAATTTATGCACAACTATGCACGCCTTTAATCACCATGGACTTGAATGATGCTACGCGGATGTGGGCTCGCATGCATGCTTGCATGCATACATGCAGACGCACGCAAATACACATGCATAATCCTGCAACCCCCTCGCTTCCCTTGCCGTCCCTCCCCTCCACCTCTCCCTCTCCCCTCCCTTCCCACTCCCCCCCTCTTCCAGGAAACGAGTGGCTCGTGCAGACTTGCGCCATTCCCGCCCCTCCACCCGCAGCAGCAGCAGGCTTGGCAGCAGGTTCGGCAGCAGGTTTCGCACTAGCAGGCTCGGGAGCAGCAGAGATCCCGTTCCCCCTATCTGCATCGCAAGATCTTACTGACACTGGAAGAACGGGCAACGTAGAGAGCAGCACCATCAGTAATGTGCGAGGGGGCGGGATGAGCAATGCATTCAGTCCCTTAAAGCCCTGTGGTGTGAGTGCGTCTGCTGGTGATGCTACGAACGCAGGGAGCATTGCTGGTGGCTGTGCGAATGTTGGGGGCAGGGGTGGAGACCAGGAGGAGGCTGTGTGTGCAGGGGTAGGGGCAACGGAGGGGAGGTTGGCGAGAAGAGGTGGAGAGGCGGAGATCGTGAGAGATGGGAAAGGGGAAACAGAGGGATATGGAATCTCTGGTATGCTAGACAGACAGTTTGGAACTTCAGCTGCTGTTTCTGGTGCTAGCGGCGCTACTGCTGCTGCTGCTGCTGTCTCTGCCGCTGGTTCTACTGCTGTTTCTGGCAATGTTATCAGCGTTGGCAGTGGTGGTATAGCAGTGACAGTAGAACCGGTAGCTCTATCACTCAGTGATGGTAGTGAATTGAGTCCTATGAGCCCTGCGTTTGGCCCCATGTGGAACAAGGCACAGGACCCTCTCTCAACCGCCACCAGCATCGGCACTAGCAGCAGCAGCAGCAGAAGAAGAAGAGCTGGTGGGGAAGCCACTTCAGAACCTGCACTCGCCACCACACAGGAGGAGAGAGAGGCAGTAGGTTTAAGAGACGCAGGGAGCAATACTAGAAGCGCAGAAATCAAAGCAGGCAATGGTCAAACGTCCACAGATGCTCTTTCCTTCGAGTTTTCCCACCCACCCGCTCAGCACTCTCACTCCCACTCCCCTCCCCGCTCCCCTCCCCTCTCCCCTCCACGCTCCACCCTACCTGCCCGTTCCTCTTCTCCCCACAACCAACCCCCTCACCTCCTGCCACCATCCAGTCCCCCGTCTCTCTCCCCCTCGCGTTTCCGCCTCACAGCAACCGAAAACCACCTGCCTTTCAGCCCCACGCGCCCCCCTCTTCCGTCCTCCTCCCCAGTCTCCTCCCCTTCGTCGCTCTCCAACTCTAGAAAGAGCCCGACAGGACGGGATAGGCTTGCGCCGTCTGCTGCCAGGCCTCCAAGAATGGGCGGGGCAGCAGGGGGGGGTGCGCATGAGATGGGCTCGCTTTCTAGTAGGCTGCACGTTAGCAGCAGTAGCAGTAGCAGCGGCGGCGGCACGGGAAAGGCGCCGCCTCCTTATGCTCGAAAAGGGGTGCGGTTTCAAGATTTGGAGGAGATGGGGCGAGGGGAGGGGAAGGAGGAGGAGGGGAGTAGAGGTGGAGGGAAGGGTGCGGGAGAGAGGAGCGGGGGAGAGGAGGAGGAAGAGGAGGAGGAGGATGATGGAGAGTTCTGTGAGGTGAAGGGTGCAGAGGTATCGTCAGATTATATGGCAGCCTTGGCTTCGGCTAGTGCGAGGGTTGATAGGCAGCTGTTGCAATCCCTGAGAGGCATGCCGAAAGGGTTCCCAGGAAACAAAGTGCTGGGAGGGGGGTTAGGGGGAGGGGGAGGGGGAGGGGGAACGGTAGGGGGAGGGTTTGGTGGAGGAAGGTTAGGTGGAGGAGAGGCGGGAGAAACGCTAAGAAAAGAAGCCGTTGCAGAAGGAAGTGTTGGTGATGTGGGGGGAGAAGTTGCCGAGGTGAACAGAGGTGCGGGGGCGGCGGGAACAGGAAGAGGGCTGGACCAGAAATTGGAGCCACAGCAGCAACAGCAGCAGCAGGGAGAGAAGCAGGATGATGTGCTTGATGTGGCTGAATTGGTGCCGCTGGTATCGGTGGGTGATCACACGGTCGACAACCTTCTAGGGGACTTTGCGGCTGAGCTGGCAGCAGAAGAATTTCAAGACAAGAACGAGGCAAGAGTGGGTGGCTCAGAGCAGATACCAGCAGCAGAGCATCAATCAGGCCGCAGTGAAAGCGGCGACGCACACTCCCGTGTGCAGAGCGGTGGCAGAGGCAACAGGGCAGGCAACAGACGAGGCAACAGCAGCGGAGTTTCTATAGGCGATGGTGATGCGAGTGGTGGCGGTGGTGCTGTTGGTGGTGCATTCTCCTTGGATAACTGGGATGCAGGTCTTGATTTGAATGAGTTGCAGGGATTAGGTGGAGGAGGAGGAGGAGAGCCCAATCCAGGGACCGAAATTGATAGTAGCAGCTTGGAAGCACCAGTGCCAGGCCGGAGGAGAAGAGACATGCGAGGAGGAGGATTGGGAGAAGCTGTAGCAGGAGGGATGGGTCCTTTAGAGGTTCCTGACGGGGATGGGGAGGGAGCAGGAGGGGAGCCCGCTAACACGGACGGGCCGCTGGGAATAGAGCAGTCCATGATTGTGGATGGCTTGGGTCGGCGCCTGCTCAAGTCGCCAGTAGCTAGCACGCACCCTCGGAGAAGGCACGGTCGTTCCTCCCATGTGTTTTGCTGACAGTCTCTCTTTCAAAACCATCCACTAGTTTCCTCTGCTCTCCCTATCCTCCCACCCATCCTCCCCCCCACCCCTCCTCTCTCTCTCTCTCTCTCTCTCTCTCTCTCTCTCTCTCTCTCTCTCTCTCTCTCTCTCTCTCTCTCTCTCTCTCTCTCTCTCTCTCTCTCTCTCTCTCTCTCTCTCTCCCCCCTCCCCCCCCCCCCCCCCCCCCAATCCCTCCCTCCCTCCCTCCTTCCCTCACGCTGTCTCGCTCTTTCTCCTGTCTCTTACTCTCTAGCTCTCTAGCTGCCACTCGCTCTCCTTCCACCTGCTGCTCATCCAGGATACAGTTGTCATATGGTGGTCGTTCTACTGCAATACTTGAGGGTTGCTAGATTCATGTGCCCTGTTCGTTAGCTCTAGATGGCTCTCTCACAATCAGAAAGGCCAGAAATAAGATGATACAATGAATAATGAAACGATCTCTTCTGCGGAGGGATATGCTTAGGACTGAATAGGGAGGTCAAATTGAGTACCTACTGTGCATGGGAATGCTAGATCTATAATAGTCTGTGATACATAATCCTTCGAATACAAAAGCAGGAATTTGGAATTATGTTTTTCCATTTGTTGCCTGAAACCAGTATACCGTATTCGCCCGGATACTAGACCGGTTTAACCCATGACTACAATTTACAAGACACGGGTCGTAACCTATTTTCACTTAGTGCGGGTCATACGGTAGTTTTTCGTTTCGTTGAAATGACATCGGTACGCATACTAAAATAGTGCAACAGGAAGTACCCAGAGCCTCAGATTTCATAAAATCTACCCTGATTTTGGGTTTGAAAGCTGATTTTCAAGGTTCTTTTAGGCTCCGAGGCTGATTTTCCAGCGAACTTCTTTGTAAAAAGCCTGAAATCTCAATTAAATCAAGGGTGCACATTCCTGGGGGTGGTTTTTGGGGGCATATTTAGATTAGAGTACACCCTTTGATGGGGTCTAATTGGACAGCGTCTTAGGAACTAGGCAGTGAATGAATTGACTATCGAGAGGATTGGTACAAGGAGAAAACCCTAAGGGGTTATACCCCACATTATCTACCCCACTACAGCCTACCCACAAATATAACATATGCTTATGTTTGACACACCCCCATAGGCAAAGTGGGGGAGAGCAAAAGGTCACAAGATCAGTCAAGAAAAGCAAAGCAAGCTCAGGGTGGATCACAACGTCACCACACACACTGAGCACAAGCAAAAAATGCCACAAGACCAGTTCACATGCAGAGGTATATACCGTATTCTCCGGATATAAGACCCGAGGGACTTTCCTAAAATACCGTAATCCCCCGGATAAAAGACCCTAGGGTCTGTTATTGATTTCACAAAAAAATGTGGGGGGTCTTATTAAAAGGTAAAAAACCTATAAGACCCGAGTCTTATAGGAAGTGCTATGTTTTTAAAAATATAATGAAATGCTAGGGTGTTGTAATCCAGATTTGCATTTTTTAACGAGGAAAACCTTTTCGAATGTCCTGAGCCGAGAAACCGGGCAGAATCCATGAAGCATATGAATGCTTCATGCTCATTGGCCCATATTCAATGGTGACCAGGTGTTGAGAGGCTGCCTTGATTGTATTTTGTGACTCCTGTGGCCGAACATGTGCCACTGCTTGCTTAATTGACATGAATTAGCCTCTAAAAAACACTTTTATGGTTGGGAGGGGGGTCTTATAATGATTTCACCCCAATTGGGGGGTATAAGGAAAACAGTATTGAATAATATACCCCCACCCCCCCCCCCCCCCCCCCCCCCCCCCCCCCCCCCCGTATTAAAGACCCGGGTACATTATTATAGGGGGGTCTTTTATCCGGAGGATTACGGTAGAGGCAAAATGGCTAGGGTGAACATTTATTTGGCACGAGTTGTAAGAGTCCCGGGTACACTTAATAATCAAGTACAGTTATGTGATTTAGGGGTGTTCACTTGATTTCGAAGGAGGGGGGGGGGGGGGGGGGGTCTTATGTTCGAAAAAATCATCCTGCGTGCGCGAAATTTGCGCGAGCGGCGCGTCAAAAGCGTCAGATCTTGAATCCGACGCGATTGGTGTGTCAGAACTAGACTCTGACACAACTGACGCGTCACAATTTGGATTATGTGCCTCTAAAAGCTGACTAACATATTGATTTTCAACTGCTGTATACAACAAAGGGGGGTCTTCAAATGTTTTATAGCAAAAGGGGGGTCCTCTCACATGTGCTACATATTAAGAGTCCCAGTACCGAATTAAAGTCCCGGGGGTCCTTTCTTTGGGAGGGTCTTATATCCGGGAGAATATGGTATGCAACAAAAACATGCAGTGATCTCTACCTAGCAAGAGCAAGCATGCAGGTATATATATATAGATCACAGTACAAGCAGAGTCTACAGCAAGTGTGGAAACGTAGGCACAAGGCCCAACAAAGTACAAAAGCGCTGATGATCACCAGACGGAAGTGCCTTGGTGAATATATCAACAGTGTTGGCCCGAGTGGCAACGTGAGCAAGACGAAGCTGACCCCGCTGCTGCACCTCTCGAGGCAGGAAGTAACGCAGAGCGATGTGCTTCGTTCTGTGCTCCAGTCTGTGCTCCTGACACAAGGCAATGGCTGCCTTGTTGTCGACGTACAGAACTGGAGGAGAACGAGGCCTCTCTCCCAAGTCGGTCAGCAGGTAGGTGAGCCAGCGTAACTCCTGTGCAGCCATGGCTGTGGCGTAGATCTCAGCCTCACAACTGGAGCCAAGAACAGAAGACGAGTGTGTAGAACGCCAGGAAACTGAACCAGAGCCAAGGCTGAAGGTGTAACCCTGTGACGACCGCTGCGTAGCCTGGTCGTCAACCCAAGAAGTGTCCGAGTCACCAGTGAGGACAACATCGTCCCGTCCTCCAAGCACGAGCCCCATGCCCAATGTACTGCACAAGTAGTGCAGTACCCTCTTAGCAGTATCCATGTGCACCTTTCGGTGCCGACCAGGAGCCACGTAGCGAGCCAGAAGGCCAAGAGGGTACGCGAGGTGAGGTCGAGTGCAAGTCATCAGGTACATGAGGCAGCCCACTAGCTCTGGGTACGGGCCACTTGGCTCTAGGGACTCGTCCAAAGGTGGAGCTGAGAGCGAGTGACCTGTAGCCAGAGGAGTGGCCTGTGCGGAGGACCATGTGAAGCCAAAGCGCTAAACGACCTGCTGCACCATGTGTGACTGAGTCAGAGTGATGGTGCGGCGTGCTCTGTCTCGGGTGATCTGCAAGCCAAGGTAACTGCGTAGCTCACCCAGGTCTGTGCACGTGTGTCTCTTCTGCAGCTCTGACTTCACAAGGGCGAGAGCCTCAAGGTCAGCAGTGGCAAAGAAGGAGCAAACCCAAGAGCCGCAAGTGTCGTCCTCAGTGTGTTGTGCCACTCACGTGGCGCCTGGCGGAGACCGTAGACCGGCCGCCGAAGGCTCCACTGGGTACCAGCAGGAAACGACCCAGTGAAGCCAGGTGGGCGGCGCAGCCAGATCTCCTCATGCAGGCTGCCTTGTAAGAAAGCTGTGCTGAAGTCAAGCGAGTGAAGCTCGTAGTCACGCTGAGCAGCAACGTGCAGCAGCACCCGAAGAGTGGTCATCTTCGGGGTGGGGGAGAAAGTCTGGAAGAAGTCAACTCCCTCCCGCTGACTGAAGCCTCGAGCGACGTAACAAGCCTTGAAGACAGGCGGAGAACCTGGCGGTCGCTTCACCCTGAAAATCCACATGCCGTAGATGATGTTCGCCCCAGGAGGGGGAACCTCATCGACATACGTGCCTGTGGACTTCCAGGAAGCCATCTCTGCGTCCATGGCTTTCTGCCACTGAGAGGAGTACTCACCCGCGATCGCCTCAGCGTAAGAGCGCGGGGTCGCGATGTCTGGTGCATCCGGGTCTCCCTCAGGGGCAAGCAGCATGGCCACGAGATGAGGTGCAGCGGCCGCAAGACACTCAAGGTCCTCAAGGACGTCCGTGCCAAGAGCACACTCACCCCCAACGGACGGAGGACAGACAGACTCAGACTCAGCAACAAGACTAGTAGCGTAGTCTAGACGACAGGCAGAAGACTCAAGCGACGGGTCATTGACAACAGTGGCTAGCAGACGTGTGACAGTAGGGTGCTCAGCACGACACCGGTCAGACTCAGGGTCCGCAACTGCAGGCAGAGAAGACGCAGGAGGAGACGGCAGAGGAGCACGCTGCGGAGGAGAGGAAGGACGACGAACTACGAGGTGGGTGCCGGGGACAGCCGGCTGACGCGGACGAGGAACACGACGACCGGAACTATCAGAACGGACAGGCAAGACAGCACGCGAGGCAGGCTCACGACGCTCAGTAAGACCCCCTGTCTGCTCAGCGTAAGGAGAAGGAGCAGGCAGTGGTGAGCCAGGCTGTAACGGAAGACTAGTAGACGAAGGGAGACTAAGAACCTGGCGTAGCACAGAGTCAGGCGGTGGCTGAGACGACGGAGACGGTGGAGTGAAGAACAGGCGCGGCTGTGCAGTGCCACCAGCACCAGCAGCTCCAACACCCCCAGCAGCTCCAACACCCTCAGCAGCTCCAGCACCCCCAGCAGCTCCAGCACCTCCAGCATCTCCAGAAACTTCAGCGCCAGCTCCTCTAGGACCAGCTCCACCAGCAGCAGCACCCACAGAACCGACACCTCCAGTCCCAGGGTCTCCAACCTAAGTGTCTCCAGCAGCAGCACCCCCAGACCCAGGGTCTCCAGCAATAGCACCCTCAGGCTCAGCAACACCTCCAGCCCCAGCAGCTCCAGTACCTCCAGTACGAGCACCTTCGGGACCAGCACCACTCCCAGCTCCAGTGACGTCAGCAGAAATGCCTTCAGCGGCAGAGCCCCGGGCTCCAGAAGCGCGACCCTGACGGCGACCGTACCATTTGTGCAGCTGCTGTGAGGTGAGAGGCACACGCGGACGAAGGCGGCTACTCCAAGGAGACCGCGCAGCAGCAGACTCAGA